AGAGTGAAGATCAAAGTAGTCCACACATTCAAATATGTCATTGAACATAAATTAAGGACATCACACAATTGAACAACATTCACTCACCCTCAACAAAGAATTCATGTGCATCCCGTGATCGTACCATAAGCTTGCCCGTAGTGTATATCTCTACTAATCTAAGCTAGCCAAATCTAGGATCAATTAGGACTTTAAGGTTGTAATGTAGGCTAAGGGACGGGTAGGATACATGTAGGTATAGTGACTAACCCGCCTAAGAACTTTAATACACTACACTCACAAATCAAGCGCAATTTCTTTTCAACCCATTCACTTGTCATACACCATATATAACATAGCCCTCTTTTCAATTAAGTACCTCTATGGATTCACTAGCACGAGTGAGAAAGATTAGGATGTGTGTATCTTTCTACATTATTTAAACTTTTATTTGCTTTTTCTTGCAAAAATTTTCCTCTTTTTTTTTCTTTCTTTTTCTTCACACACTTCATACATTGAAGTTCATAAGCTAGTGACCTTCTTTCATAATTTTAGTGCACCTTAAGAGCCCTTCCTTGGTTTCACTCAAACACCACTCCCCAATCTCTCACCTTACTTCTTTAGCGGCTAAGTGCCTTAGGAGGTAAAGGTTCAACAATCTCGAATTAAGAACAAAGTAGGAGTACGGCTTGTAATGTGAGTGCCAAGGAAACGGTCTATAGGCTCAAAGGGGCTATCAATGGGAAGATTTTATTTGTCTGTGCCAAGCACCTTTATGGTCAAGCAAGAAACACCTACGTCATATCCTAGACTAGCATAACTTAATGATTTTGCGTTGATTAACACACGGGGCAAGTTCTAGACTACACAGGATAGCACAGAATATCAACAATCCTTACACACACATGGCACTTGACTCACTCAAGACGGTTATGTGCGACTCTCAAGTCAAGCAAGCATATCCAGTTAAGAATTTTTAAACAACAATGCACTAGGTGGCATACAAGTCAATCAACTGAGAAAAAGGCGTCAAAGAGTAGGCTACTTAATTTACTTGGGCATTACAATTCAAATCATATATGCAGGAAGACAGAGCGCATGCCATAACTTAACTTGCCAATACCAAACATGTCAATAGGTACCTTAGAGCAATCTCAGTTTTCTCCCTTATCCTACTCCTAAAAAAAACTCAACTAAATTTTGCGATTCGAGCTACACCCTTGGAAAAGAACCGGCGTCGAAAGAAAAACCAAGAGATACAACCTAACTACCTAAAAACAAATGGAAATCTTTTTGGTGTTTTTAATCGGACTTTAATCCCTCAAGAAAATTATCCAACAGATCCATCGTCGGGAAAAGTCCGAGCTTTTTCTGATTTTTTTTTAATGATAATACTATGTTAGTTCTAAACTAAGCTAACAAGTAGAAAAAAACAAAACAATAAAAAAAATTTTGTTTTCTTTGTAGTTGCAAGTCGTAGCATAGTTTGTTTTATTTTCTTTTAGTTAGAGTAGACTAATTTATTTTTTGTTTTCTTTGTAGTTGCAAAAATCTTAGGTGGGAATGGTGTGTGGTGTGTGTAATGTATGTATTGAGTGCTCGGGTAGTCGGGATTTAAACAAAAAAAAAAAGCAAAATGAGCGCCCAGCCCAGCACCCCACGCTGGCTGGGGCGCACTTTGCAGTAAGCAGCAGAAACTCAACGCCAGCCCCAATGTGGGGCGCTGGGCTGGCGGGTCAGGTAAGTAGTTTTTTATTTTTTTATTTTTTTATTTATTTTTGTTTTCTTTGTTTAATTGAAATACCAAACCCAATTACCCATATACACACACAAACTAACCCATACCCAATTACCCAAACTCATCCTCCACCTAAATTAAAATAACTAAAACGCAAACCCCCCTTTCTCCAAAAAAAGACGTTGAACACTGCCCGCTCCTCTTCTTCCCTTTTCTCTCAAGTTCTCAAATTCTTCAATATTCCTTGCTCAATTCCATCTCAAGACTCAAAGGTGTGTTCTTCGTGTTCTCTCTTTTCTTGTATTTTAAAATTTATTAGTGTAATTCTAGTCCTCTTTCTCAAACAACCCCAAAATCCCATAGGTTTCTTTGACATATCTTGTTGTTATGGTGGTCTTAATATGCACGAAATTGGGTGCCAAAATTGGTTGTGAAGTTGTGTTTGAAGTAGTAAACTATAATTACCTCTACTTCATGTAAATTTGGGAGGGCCACCTTGCTCCACCATTGTTGAAATAAAAGAAGCAAAATTGATGCCCATAAGGTGTTTGCTAAAATACCTAAGAGAGAATTTGAACACCGGTGAAGTCTAAGTAACCGAGTGTAGTTGTATATGAGTTTGGGCGAAGTGTGGGGTATTTGGAGGTATTGTTTCTTGTTGTAAACTCTTGTAAGTCGTAGTTAGTGTACTAAATTAGTGTAGTAATGTAGACTTTAGCTTTGTTATGCTTGAACCATATTTAGGTTACGGCCATGTCAAACTAATTGAATTATATGGCATAGGGAAGTCTGAGTACCTATAGCCTTATGATGACACATTGGTGCACATTAAACCAATATTATGACTCGATTATATATAGCCTTTGGTTTTAAGTGTGGGGTCATCTTGCCTCTCGCGATGACCTTAGGTGAAATTTCTTGATTCACTCTCATCTTTGTGTTTATCGTGTGTCGGTTGCTATGGATCGTGATGGTGCCGCTAAAGGAAAAGTGGTGGGAAAGTCCTCCACTACCGTTCCCCCTCCAAAGAAACACAAGCAAGGTGAGAGTTCTTCCCGACAAGCCAAGGGAAAGCAAGTTGCTAGCGAGTCAACGAGGCCACCACGACCTCGGGTGGAACTTGTTCGGGATGACACCATCAAATGGCATGATACTTTTGTTCCATATGGGAGATATGTGTCTGAAATGGGGATAAATGTGAAGATTTTATAACGGAACTTCCCAGCCGTGCTTGCTAGACTGATCGAAAAGAAGATGGATAAGCTCCTTGAATGTCTGGGACCTGTAAATCTAAGCATGGGACGAGAGTTATATGCCAACTAGAACGAGGGGTTTGACAAGTCATGGGTCCAAGGAAAGTAAATTCCTATGGATAGGGAAGCCTTGTGTCGCTTCTTGGGAATTGATAGCCCAAATCCACGGGGGCTACAAAAGTTTGTTAAGAGTCCACACTACCAGGAAATACGTCACACACTTTGTGGCGTTGATTCTAATGCAAAGTGAACGCAGACTAAGGGAAACATGCACCTTGAGATGCTCCGGTTTGACTTCAACAAAACGGCCAAGGTCTGGAAAAACTTTGTGCAAGCTAGATTAATGCCCGTTGAGCATAATAGTGAGTGCACTCGAGCTCGAGTGTGCGTGATCTACTTTTTGATGACCGGGCGACCCCTAAATGTGGGTGATCTCATGCTTGGAGAAATGGCCTGCACCCGTTTTAGAGGGAGGATCAAGAGGTTTTTTTTGGAAACATCCTGACACAGTACATGCTATCCCGTGGGGTACCAGAGTATCCTAGCTATGATGAGGTAGTGGAGGCACCCAAGGCATTGCTAGACATAACATTCTTGCTAGAGTCCACATCAAAACTTACTCAGGTTGCAAGGAATAAGAGGGACAAAAGTTTTAACAGGTATCTTTATAGTTCCCTAAATGTTATAATGAGCAGGCTAGGGGTGTCAGATAAGGAGCGCATGCAATTGCAAAATGATCTCTCCAGTTCGTCCAAGGAGATGTTAGGCATAGCACCGGGCAGTCCCATTCATCCGTCTGAGGATGAAAACACTTACAAGAGATCTGATGATGAGGATGAGGATGATGATGAAGTTACGGGGCCCATGGCTTTGGTACCCTTAGGAGATGATGATGATCCCAGAGCCGCAGTCGGTGGACATCCTGAGGAGGCAGACTCCGACTAGCAGGGAGCTCTTTCTTTCCACCTTGCTCTATTTTGAATTTGTTATGCATCGGGGACTATGCATTGCTTAAGTGTGGGGTGGGGGAATACTTCTTGACTTGTGATTTAAAAAAACTATGCTAGGAAAGCAGTAAAAATTGGGTTGCCTCCCAACGAGCGCCTGATTTAACGTCGCGGCACGACTCAACACGTTTTTAAGCATCGGCCAAGTCCACCGAGGTCTTGTGACATGCAATGTCACCACCCCAATAATGTTTTATTCTCTGGCCATTTACCAAGAAGGTACCACTTGAGCTCGTATCACACAGTTCCACCGCTCCATGAGGCCTCACACTTACCACAACAAAAGGACTTGCCCAACGAGACTTAAGCTTTCCGGGGAAAAGCTTCAACCTCGAATTGAACAAGAGAACTTCTTGACCCGGCTCAAACTCTCGATGTTGGATGTGCTTGTCATGCCACCTCTTCGTCTTTTCTTTATATAATTTGACATTTTCATATGCGTGCAATCGAAACTCATCAAGCTCGTTGAGTTGCAGCAACCTCTTCTCACCAGCTAGGTCCATATCCATATTCATCTTTTTAATTGCCCAATAGGCTTTGTGTTTAAGCTTGACGGGCAAGTGGCACGCCTTCCCATAAACTAACTTATACGGAGAAGTACCTATGGGAGTCTTGTATGCAGTTCGATATGCCCATAATGCGTTGTCTAGCTTCCCGGCCTAGTCCTTTCTATTTCCACTTACTGTTTTCTCCAGAATCTGCTTTACCTCTCTGTTTGAAACTTCCACTTGACCACTCGTTTGGGGGTGATAGGCATTGGAAACCTTGTGCTTAACTCCATACTTTGCAAGAACATTATTCAGCAATTTGTTGCAGAAGTGAGTTCCTCCGTCGCTTATCAACACTCTTGGAGTCCCAAAGCGCGTGAAGATGTGCTTCTTTACAAAGCTCACCACTACCTTTGCGTCATTAGTAGGAAGAGCAATGGCATCCACCCACTTAGAAATATAGCCGACCGCCACCAAGATGTACCTGTGACCATTAGAGTATGGGAACGGTCCCATGAAATCAAACCCCCAAACATCAAAAAGCTCTACTGCCAGAATGTTTTGCAAAGGCATCTCGTGCTTCTTCGTGATTGTTTCGATTCTTTGGCACCTGTCACACTTTTTAACAAAGGCATGTGCATCCTTAAACAATTTTGGCCAATAAAAGCCTGATTGTAGCACTTTTTGGGCAGTTCTGTCCCCACCATGGTGCCCTCCATATGGAGAAGCATGACAGTCATGCAATATTGCATTCATCTCTTCCTCGGGAACACACCTTCGCACCAACTGATCTGCGCACTGCCTATATAGGAATGGGTCATCCCACATGTAGAGCCTCACATCATGTAGGAATCTTCTTCTATTATCAGGTGTCACTTCTGGTGGCGTCACACCACTTGCAATAAAATTCACATAATCTTCATACCACGGGGCTTCCCTTGAGGTGACTGCTAATAACTGCTCATCAGGAAATATTTCTTTAATCAACCCCCCTTCAGCTACATGGTTCCGATTTTCTAATCTGGACAAGTGATCAGCCACTTGATTCTCTGTTCCTTTTCGATCTCGGATCTCCAAGTCAAATTCTTGCAAGAGGAAGACCCCCTCGGCTTGGCGTCTTTCTTTTCAAACAAGTATCTGATACCTGAATGATCTGTGTAGATGATGACTTTGGTTCCCATTAGATAGGATCTGAACTTGTCAAATGCCCACACCACTGCAAGCAACTCTTTTTCAGTGACAGTGTAATTCATCTGGGCTAAATTCAGAGTTTTGCTCGCATAATAAATGGAGTGAAAACTTTTATCCCTTATTTTCCCCAAAACAGCTCTGATTGCTATGTCACTCGCATCGCACATCAACTCAAATAGCTGCGCCCAATCTGGGGAAATGATAATTGGTGCAGTCACCAACCCTCCCTTCAACTCCTCAAATGCTTTCAGACAGGCATCATCAAACTTGAAGGGGGCATCTTTCTCAAGAAGCCTGCACAAAGGAAAAGAAATTTTCGAAAAATCTTTAATGAAACAATGATAAAAACCTGCATGGCCCAAGAAACTGTGAATGCCTTTGATAGATGTCGGCGGGAGCAATTTTTCAATCGCTTCCACCTTTGCTTTATCCACCTGCAAATCATTTTTGGACAACTTGAGCCCCAAGACTATACCTTCACATACCATGAAGTGGCACTTTTCCAGTTTAGTAACAAGTTTGTCTCTTCACACCTAGCAAGCACTTTATCAAGGTTTATTAAACAATTATCAAAAGAGCACCCGAACACAGAAAAATCATCCATGAACACTTTTATAAATCTTTCAACCATGTCAGTAAAAATAGCCATCATACACATTTGAAAAGTCGCTGGTGCATTACAGAGACCAAAGGGCATTCTCTTAAACGCATATGTGCCATAGGGACAGGTAAATGTAGTTTTCTCTTGGTCCTCTGGGCTATAGCAATCTGATTATACCCTGAATAGACATCTAGGAAATAGTAGTATTCCTGGCCAGATAATCTATCAAGCATTTGGTCAATAAAGGGGAGGGGAAAGTGGTCCTTTCGGGTGGCATTGTTCAATTTTCTATAATCTATACAAATTCTCCACCCAGTGACAGTTCTTGTGTGAATCAAGACATTATTTTCATTAATCACTACAGTCATCCCCCTTTTCTTAGGCACACATTGGACGGGTCTTACCCATTTGCTATCAAAGATTGGAAATACTATACCTGCATCAAGCCACTTAATCACTTCTTTTCTTACCACCTCTTTCATGATTGGATTTAGTCGGCGTTGCTGCTCTATACTTGGCTTGTGTCCGTCCTCCATGAGGATTTTATGCATGCAGAAAGCTGGACTAATGCCTTTAATGTTAGACATCGTCCACCCAATTGCTCGTTTGTGCTCACGTAGCACTCTCAACAGCTTTTCTTCCTGCAATTTAGACAAGTCAGAAGAAACAATAACAGGTAAAGTGTCAAAATCACCCAAATAAGCATATTGAAGGTGAGGGGGGGGGTTTAAGCTCCAATTTTGGAGCTTCTTCAATTGACGGCCTTGGAGGAGGCCCACTTGGCCTATTTAGGGGCTCAAAGGGGTGAATTCCATGCATGTAAGTGCATGATGCATCAAGAATATGCATCATCTCCTCAACCTCATCATCAATCTCCAAGCTATTGAACAACATGAGTGCTTTTTCTAGAGAATCATCTAGATATACACTCGTGTCAAGGAGTTGCTCATCCATCTCCACAACAGATATCATAGAGAGCTCCTCATAGTGGCATGGAATTTGGATCGCTTTGTAGATATTAAAGACTGCTTCCTCGTTGTCCACGCTCATAATCATTTTTCCCTCTCTCACTTTAATAATTGCATCACCAGTAGCCAAGAAAGGTCGTCCCAATAAGATTGGAACATGTTCATCAGCCTCATAATCTAGGATAATGAAGTCCGCAGGGAAGATGAATTTCCCAATTTGCAGCAACACATCTTCAATCACTCCTTCAGGGTATGCGATGGACCTATCAGCTAGCTACAACATCACAGTGGTTGGTCTTGGAGCTCTCAGGCCCAATTGCTTGAACAAGGACAAGGACATCAGATTTATGCTCGCCCCTAAATCACAAAGAGCATGACCCACATCAATATTACCAATTCGCACAAGGATGGTGAAGCTGCCAGGATCCTTAAGCTTTTGAGAAAGCTTGGTTTGGACCCTTGAAGTGCACTCCTCAGTAAGTGAAACTATCTCAAATTCAGTCAGTCTCTTCTTGTGAGCCACTATATCTTTTATGTACTTAGCATAATTTGGAATTTCATGAAGTACATCTACCAATGGAATATTCAATTGAACCTGGCTTAACATAGAGANTAGCAAGTCATTCGTACTCTCTTCTATTTGTTGGGGTGACTTCTGAGGTTGATTAAAATTTCCTTGGGGCCTATAATGATTCTGATTCGGCTGATTTCCGCCCCATGAGAAGTTGGGATGATTCTTCTAATTTGGATTGTAAGTGTTCGCATATTGTGCATGCTGATTCATCGGACCTCTACTTTGTTGCCCCAGATAGTATATAGATTCAGGATTCATGGGGCACATGTCACTCGTATGACTGTCACCACATAGTTCGCAGCAAATAGACATCTATTGTACATGTTGCATTTGTTATGTTTGTTGCATTGTCATTCTATTCATCTGATTTGCCAATTTTGCTATATCGGCTCTCATGGCTGAGAAGTCATCAAGCTCAATCACCCCGACGGCTTTCTGTTTAATTGCTCTTCGTGAGTCCCCATCTCCTTGCCAATTATGATCATTAGCAGTGAAGTTATTTAGCAAGAGTTAGATTTCACTATACGGCCTCGCCATGTAACTACCCCCACAAGTTGAATCAAGATTCATCTTTGATGCTTCGTCTAGCCCATCAAAAAAAGTATGACCCAATACCTCATCAGTCTGACAATGATGCGGGCAGTCTCTGAGTAGCTTCTTATATCTTTCCCAAGCTTGACGAAGTGTCTCGCCATCCCATTGTTGGAACCCAAGAATCTGGCTCCTCAGCGACTTTTTCTTAGTGGGGAGAAACTTGATTAAGAATTTCCTTGCTAGATCATCCCAAGTGTGGATTGAGTTCGCGGGCTCCTTTTGCATCCATTCCTTAGCTTCCCCCAGCAGTGCAAAGGGAAATAGTGTCAGCCTGACATAGTCCTTAGAAATGTTCGGATAATTGTAAGTGTCCGCAGGAAATTCTTAATGTGCCTCTACGGGTCTTCATGAGATAGACCCATATATTGCCCTGTGGACTGAATCAACTGTACCATGTACTGTTTAAGTTCAAAATGCCCTGTGATATCAGGCTTCACAATAGCCTGAGTCATATTAGCAAGATTGGGTCGTGCGGCTTCTATCATCGCATGCTCTTCATTACCTGCAATCCCTATTGGTTGTGGTTGAATTACAATGTTCAACTCTCTTTCTATCCCTATTGGATGTGGCTGTGGCTAACTTAATGCCTATATGTCAATGGAATTAAGATTAACAAGAATGCATTTACAATTCCTGTATTTCAATAAAGCAAGGCAATTAGGTATATGTCTATCCTAATTGCGAATCTGTTCCCTGATGCCCAGGTTCAAGAACTTGCTCTATTTAATTCTATATGCAATCTAGAATTTTTACTTTCGAGTTCAACTCTAGATTCGTAGATAGTATTTCACTATTAGCTACTCAGCAAAATAATAAAGAACATAATTAAATAAATAACCCAATATGATAAAATCAACTTCGTCAAATTAAACTCCAAACATCAACATTCATGTATCACCCATGACCCTAGAACAATAGGGTTCTTAGCCACTCAAGTTCATACAATCATCAAAAATAAGGTTTTCAAACATAAAATCAATGAGAACTAGGAAAGGGATGGAAGAATTGATCAAATCCATGCTCCCGAGTGTTTGGCACTTTTGTTCTTCTCTCAAAGTCACGTCCCCCCCCCCCCCCCAAA